TGAAGGAGGCAATCGCAGCAGCTGGCAGCAACACAGAGGTTCTCAACATCCCAGACGGTGAGTCTTTGGCTAGAGTCCTCAGTTCTGGAGTCCAGACCACCGTGAGTGACCCACGATTGGAAGTCTCCTATGAACCAAACTACGTCCCTGTGGTTCCCCCGCAGATGCCTGCCTTACCCCCTGAGCAGCTCGTTGCCGTCCTCCAGACCTCGATCAAGCTTGACATCCTGGAGGGAAACATCGGCTACCTGAGGATCGATCACATCCTTGGAGAGGACGTTGCTGAGAAGGTTGGACCTCTGCTTCTCGACCTGGTCTGGAATAAGATCCTTCCAACCTCAGCTCTCATCTTTGACTTGCGCTACACCGGCAGCGGGGACATCACGGGAGTCCCCTACCTCGTGTCTTACTTCACTGATGCTGAGTCTGTGATTCACATCGACAGCGTGTATGACCGTCTTTCAAACACCACGACGAAGCTGAATTCCCTGACAACGCTGCTTGGGGCCAGATATGAGCTTAGCAAACCCCTCATTCTCCTCACAAGCAAAAACACCAAGGGAATCGCCGAGGATGTTGCCTACTGCCTCCAGAACCTGAAGAGGGCCACCATTGTGGGCGAGAAGACCGCTGGGGGCTCTGTAAAAATAGATAAATTCAAAGTGGGCGACACTGACTTCTACATTACAGTTCCTACCGCAAAGTCCATCAACCCCATCACCGGCTCATCATGGGAGATTACAGGTGTGACCCCCGATGTGGAGGTCAACGCAGAGGACGCCCTCGCTACCGCCATCAAGATCCTCAACCTCCGTGCCAAAGTTCCAGCCATTATCGAGGGATCAGCGACTCTGATTGCCGACAACTACGCCTTTGAAGATATTGGGGCTCATGTTGCGGAAAAGCTGAAAGGTCTTCTGGCAAACGGCGAGTACAGCATGGTTATCTCCAAGGAAAGTCTGGAGACAAAGCTGTCCGCTGATCTGAAGACCCTGTCTGGGGACAAGAGCCTGAAGACCACCAGCAACATCCCAGCCCTGCCACCCATGGTGAGATCGTTGCACATAGAATTTAGTTTCTGGTTGTTATTGTCTTTCATTGTGAATGGTCAAAAAAACGTCACTAAATCTAAAATACTTTGGTGTTTGTGGCATTTCTGTGCAGTAGTTTAACAATGACCAACAAAAATGTATTTGTTTTAAAGCTTTTTAAGTCAATTTAACAGAGGATTTTGCTAGACGAGCATGTTTTGTCTAAAGAAGATATATATACATTTGGAAACGCAGGAATTCAAATTAATTTAATATGTGAAATGATATGTGAAAATCTACTGAAAATCAGACATATTGACATTGTTTATAATATTACAAATCCTTAGTTTATATATGTAATTTTTTCACAGGATTATTCTCCAGAGATGTTCATTGAGCTGATCAAAGTGTCCTTCCACAATGACATATTGGAGAACAACATCGGCTACCTGCGCTTCGACATGTTCGGAGACTTTGAGGAGGTCAAGGCCATCGCCCAGATTATTGTTGAGCATGTCTGGAACAAAGTTGTCAACACTGACGCTATGATCCTCGACCTCAGGTGGGTAATCCTGCTCACAGAGCTGTCAAAGCTTCTATTCAAAATACAGTGTGTCTATTCTGGAAAATAAATCATCTGCTGAAGCTCCGTGACTTAATATAGAGGACTTAGCGTGCAAAAATTACTTCAAATCATCTCGTTTTACCATCACAAAATTATATAACGCAGGATTACCGTTATCATGGCCTCACAATCGTTCAATTAATATGAATCCAGACTTTCTATGATTGTTCTTTAACGGCTTGTGTTTTCAGGAACAACATTGGTGGCCCAACAACAGCCATTGCAGGCTTCTGCTCTTACTTCTTTGACGCTGACAAGCAGGTTGTGCTGGACAAGCTGTACGACAGAACAACCGGGAACACAACAGAGCTCCTGAGCCTGCCTGAACTCACTGGTAAAATATATTACATCATAGATTACAGTTAGCAACAAAGTAAGTGACTACATGGTGAACATAGTAGAGCATTCAGTGTCAGATATTCCCTCTGGAGTTGGTGGTGAAGGTTCTACATTTAAGCATGTGTGCTTTTTAAGATGCATCTTCAATTTGGCCAAAATACTGCTCTTACAAATGAAATCGGCTCATTAAATGGCCGTTATCAGTTGCTTTCACTGCCTTTCTGATGCTTCAGACGGAGAAAAATGTGTTTGTATGCAAGGTGGTTATGAAACTTAAATTACTTATGTAGACTATATACATTACGTAACTTAAGTCATTGTGTTGTGTTAAGATTTCGCATCGTGCACAAACAGCAGTTACCTGGCTGAAAGTCTTTGGTTAATTTGACTCATCAATACTTTATGGCAATTCCCTACAACGACATTGTTGCTCATTTAACTGCGTCACCTAACTTCCCCCCTTTGTTCCAGTTAAAATGACAACAGCTACTTGAGTTTGGTGTCTTCTTCATTTGTAAAATTCCATCTAATTCTATGAATTGCCTTTTTGAACTTGTAGGTACAGCAGGCCCGTTCTAAATTGCCCTTTTTGTCATTTCACAGTACAGGTACTATTTAACGAAATTGTTCTTCTGCATTTGACCCATCCTAGTGTTAGGAGCAGTGTGCTGCCGTGTCCGGCGCCCGGGGAGCAGTGTAGGGAACAGTGCCTTGGGACATCTCGGTAGCACTTGGTCTTGCCAGGACTCGAACTGGTGACCTTCCAGTTACCAAGCCAAGTCCCTATCTACTTCGCCACCACCGCCCTGACCCATATCTATTACGTCCGATAACCCCATTTAATCAGCTGATAACATTTAAAGTGGGTTCCAATAAGCTACAAAGCTGTTCATATGATACCTTCTTTGGTTAAGTGATCGGCTTTTAAAGTCGCCCTTCTAAAGGCGCCTTCCTTTAATTCAACTCGCCTCCACATTCAAAGATTCCAAGATTCAAAGGTTTTAATGTCATATGCACATAAGCTACAGTGTAGAAATGGCAATGAAATTCTTCTGACCTGAGCTCCTCCAACAATGCAACATATATAATAAAATACAAAAATAAATAGTGCAAGAAGTCTATATACATGTCAATAGAATATGGGATATGTACAAGAACAGAATATGAAATTAAATAATGTAAATTAAGACAACATTTAATTATTGCGGTGATAACTATTTATATGATTTAGTATATTGCAAGATGACAACAGGAATGTTTATCGGGGCACATATAGGCGTCTTCAATTAGCACAAAGGCCTTTCTTTAATTCATCTCACCTCCACATGCTTTTAACCTTCTGCTTCCATCTTACCCTCTCTTTTTTAGGCCCAAGATACGGCTCTAAGAAGAGTCTGATCATCCTCACCAGTGGAACGACTGCTGGCGCTGCAGAGGAGTTTGTTTACATCATGAAGAAGCTCGGCCGTGCAATGATCGTTGGAGATACAACCGCCGGGTCTTCACACCCACCCAAGACCTTCAGTGTTGGTGAGACCAACATCTTCCTCAGCATCCCCACCATTCACTCTGATACCTCCAACGGTCCAGCCTGGGAAGGGGCGGGCATCGCACCGCACATACCCGTCCCAGCTGCAGGTGCCCTCGAAGTGGCCAAGGGCATCTTCAACAAGCACTTCGGACCCCAGAAGTGAACCACATCCTGAAAAAAGGGGATTTCAACACTCACTTTTGCTTTGGCGGCCAAAAATGGGATCAATAAAGTACTTATCTTAAATTGGTTCAAGATTTATAAATGATACTCAAAATGAAGAATGTAGAGTTCAATCTGTTATTCATTATCTCAAAGCCTTTTTAGACAGTTTTTAATGTAGAGCAGATGTTCAACAGCAGGATTTACTTGTAGTTTGTTATCTTGTTGAATGTTACTCTTTGAGAATGAAAGGTGCTGAAAAGCTGATTCCTTTGTGAAGCAAGTATGAATAATGATGTGTCAAAATCAGTTGTAACATGAATGTAATCAACCACATGCAAAGGAGAGGCAACAAAGGAAACACACACAAAAAAAGGCTTTTAAATTATATTTGCTATCCATGTATCATTAAGGATTGTGTTGACATACTGTACGTCCATTATGCCATGTGGGAACACTTGGGTTGTATCAAATCCAGTGGTGAGACACAATAAAAAAGGCAACTGAAAAGAGTGTGTTGTTTTAAATCAACAGAGTTATTAGGCATCAGAAAGACAGAAGGAAACATGTTTTTCTTTCAATTATTTTATTTATTTGATGTTTAATCTAAAGTTAGTTTCAGGAAATTCCTTTTTATTATTTTATGCAGAGATACATTATGTTGCCATTACATACACATGATGGTTTAGGTCACGGTGACATTGTGACTTTTGAGGGATTAAATATGTGAATATAACAATAACCCTATCAAAGGTCTGCTTCCATAGACACATGTTGCTAATATTTTCTTACATTTTAAATAATAATATTATAATGCCATCCATTTATCTTCTCAAATTCAACCATGACAAAGAAACCTCCATATGCTTATGAACAACAACAACAACAACAACAACACACGTATTTTGTCTAAGTGTACGTCTGTTGTACACTGTAAATATATATTTTCCACACTCTTCTTGCAGCCTCGTGTTTATGATGGTGTAATTACAGAGAATGTTTCTGTTCATGGCCACTGCTAATTAACAAGGAGCAGAGGCACAGGGAAAGCAAACAAACTCGTGGTGATTAATGAGGACAAAATGCTGGGAAACGACTTAAATGCACACATCGGTTAAAGGCGGTAAGCTTACTGTATGACAATATGTTGACGCGTTCAAGAGTGACAGATGTATCGTCTCAAATGTCTTGATTCCTCGAGAAATGCGCCAGTGTGCCACGTGAGGGAGGCGCAAAATGGGATCTTGACCCACTTTTCCTCCTTCTCTCTCCTCCTCGGGTTGAAATATGAAACCTGGACCATTTCAGCCAAGACTGTCCCCGGGCTCCCAGTTCCAACACTGCTCCGCATTACCCGGCTTCATTTGGCATTTTTAGACCAGTTTTTCCGCTTTGACATTAGATTTGTCATACTTTTTGATTTTTACGCACCACCCATTTCACCTAAATTGAATCATTAACCCTCCTTGCACGAGTTTGGATGTGTTTTCGCGAATCTTTTAAACTTTTGTTCATGTATGTGGATTCAGAAATATCCGTAACTTTTCATTTTCAGTCATTCCCATTGAGTTAAAGCATCTCTCCGGGTGGCTTTTTTAAGGGATGCTGCTTGCCATGATTGCAAACTGAGCTGAAAACAATAGAGACGTGGAAGCATCGCCTGCATCCTTTTCTTTTGTCTTTGTTGCATCTCTTAATTATATAACTGTCTCTGGGATGTAAGAAAACACTCGACAGTTAGTTTTTTTCTTTTTATCCACAAAGGAATTAACTTTTTTTGCACCGAGGAACAACTATGGCGAGGTTTCTGTTGACAATGCGTCTTTTTCTGGTTTTATTCGGATTATTTTTGCTCTCTTATCCATGTGCACGAGCCGAGCCAGAGCAGCAGGAGGAGGAGGAGGAGGAGAGTTCCTGTCAGGGAGCTTTCGACCTGTACTTTGTGCTTGATAAGTAAGTGGAAACAGCTTTTAAAGGTTTCATATTCATTGAGACAACATAGGAATATCATTGGCATGTTAATACAGCGGTTTTTCCAGGTACAGGAAGCTGGCAAAAGCACCAAAAACAAGCCAACATCTGGATTTCTTTTTCGTGTTACTGTCTCTTTAAAAGCGGTACATTTATTTTATGCAGGTTTGTTTCATGCTTTATTGAGGACAAGAACATATGACGCTTATTTTCCCAACAGGAGGGGATATATACCAACGTTTTAGCTTGTATTATGTGTAAAGAAGTACAAAAAAACTAATGTTAAGAGACAGTGGTGTAAAGTAACTAAGTACATTTACTCAAGTACTAATAAGCACAATTTTGAGATGCTAGTCTTTATATTTTCTGCTACTTTGTACTTCTATACCACTACAATTGTAAATGGTGTAACTCCACTACATACAAAGTCATTCAAACTAGCTGCACCTTTACCAGCTTTGATAACGCTTTACTGATCAATCATTATAAAACATATCATATATATTATTCTGAAATGGGCCAAGCTGCACAACGACTACTTTTACTTTTGGTACTTTAAGTACATTTTGATGCCAATACTTTTCTACTTTTACTTGAGTAACAGTTTGAATGCAGGACTTTTACTGTAACAGAGTATACCTACACTCTGGTACTTCTACTTTTACTCAAGTACAAGATCTGAGTACTAAAGCACCAAAAACAAGCTAACATCTGCATATGCTTTTCGTGTTACTGTCTCTTTTAATGCAGTATATTTATTTCATCCAAGTTCTTTTCATGCTTTTATTAAGGACAAGAAATATTACGCTTATTTTCCAAACAGGAGGTTAATTATACCGTACTTTTAGCCTTAAATATGTATTTAAAAGTACTAAAACCTAATGTTCAGGGCTATGGAGGTAGCTGATTAGCACAGCAGCTGCAACTGTGCGTGCACGTGTGTGTGCGCATGTGATGACGCTGGAAAGGAGGCTGACTCCCAGAGTACAGTTTGCTGAATAAGCAAAAAGAGGGGTGACGATTTGAGTGATATCTCTCTTTCCCTGCAGGTTAAAACACACTCAGTCTCTCTACAAATCATATGTCACTCTCCCCTGAAAATGAACAAAACCTCTGCAGTTATTTTTATTCCCAACCCAAGCTAAAGGAATTTTTTTCTTGCTCTTTGCTCACCGTTCACTCTTTCATTTCCACTCTCCGTACGCCCACATAGGAAAAATGCTGTGGTTGTGTGACATCTTGGTGCTGGACTTCAGCCAGGGGGGAAAATAAAATGTCAGAAAGCAGGGAAAACTTCTAGAGTCCCAGCCTTACTTTCAATGCCTTTACTGCACAAGATTATATACATTCAAAGGCAGTAAATTATGTTTTATGGCACATATGGAATACAGGAGTTATCCTCTATTGCACACTGCACGTTAATGTTGGATAAAACTCACAGATAAAATATCTATACCTTATTGTTATAGTTGTGAATCATCCTCATTTTAAATCACTGGGCCAAATAACTTTTGCAAACAATGAGAAAAAGGGAAGGTGTGCAAAGGAAAAATGTGTCCAATACATTTCAAAATATCCCAAAAAAAGACATTGCCCCCAAGATCTAGATAATAAAATGCACTGTCCTTCATTAAACCATTATCCTGTATTCATTTTAGACCCCAACACTGTGTATGCAATAAAAGATGGGCTTATTTCACATTAAACAGCAACTGTATACACTTAATACTACATTTTAAAAGTGGCCCAAAAGTTTGAAAATGTCCCACTTTTTTCGGACAAAGGGTGCAAAAGTTGTTCTCCAATTATGTTTTTTCCTACACTGAATTACAACTCTATATTCTACATACTATGGTGTCATATTTTGGATTGAAAGGATATTGCAGGATCAGCTCGTTTACTTCCCCTTTACATTTACTAAGCATTACCAGGAATGGGGAGGGGAACCAAAAAAGGACAGGAAGCAACAACATTTATAGAAAATCTGGTCCTAATTTGGAGAACATAATCCTGCACGTACCCACCTTCTTAAGTATTTTTAGGAGGGGATTTTGTCTATGAGGACATATTACATAGAAAAGGGAAGTGTCTTGAAGTTAAGCGTCACTTGTTGTGACTGTAAAACATCCACTGGGTCACTGCACCTGACACATCGATGACCCCCAGTGGGAATCAGTGCACAGTGACAGTTTAACTGCCTTCCTGTATCCACTGAACTTCACAACAACTTTGACATTTTTCCTGGATTTTAATTTCCAAGTAGAAGTGGACACAAAACATGTAACTGCTCCCCAGATGTGGAGTGCTTCATTTGGCCCGGTGGTAAACACTGACACATGGTGTAAATAAGGAAACAGCTTGTTTTTTTTACCACATCAGATGCTATTGTTAGCTGGTCTGCATGCTTTACTGCCCACTCAGAGGGTGAATAACAAGGGTTAGACATCAGTTGTGGACTTCAAATAAGAGGAAGCTCATTAGACACCTACCTCAAGCCCCCCTCAACAACATCCTTCAGGCATGAGTAGGTTTTATGAGACATGGTCTGAGTCTGAACTCCTGGTTGATTCATATGGAAGGAGTCAAGTGGGTTAAAAGGGGTTTCAGTATGTAGAATAGCGGAGGATAGAGGTTATTTACACCCTAATAGCACTTGTAAATCATAACGGACTATGTTTGGACATCTACACTACAACTCTGATTTTGTAAATCCCCAAAGGCTGTTACAATTAGTATTTAATTTCATTGTAAACAGGAGAGGAAGGAAGTTAATTTACAGTAAGTAACACAGCATAATAGATTGAGCAATTGGTTAAGCAGAGAGGATACAAAAGGCTGTGTGTTTTTATACTTTGGCAACAGATGATATCTTCTACGTATCACTGGTTGAAGTGGTTTAAATCAGTAATAGCAGCTGTAGTGTAAGCCACATCTTTCAGGAACCAATACTGGACGATTGGGTTCAGTACAAAGTAAATCATAGATGTTTAGCACCCATGCAGGCAGTTTCTTTTATGAGGCAAGGTGAATAGTTAAGCCTTAACCATACTTTAACCACCCATGTGTTAATGGTTATAAAGGAATATGACTAAGAGTTTAAAGCCACACTGGCAGATCTAAGAGGCTGCACTTATGCACAGCGAGGCTTTAAACTAAATGCTAACGTAGCTAACGAAACCAACGTGCTAGTGTTTAGCAGGTCTAATGTTTACCATGTTCCTGAGGTTGTTCATTAATTCATTCCAGATTTTTCGTGAGGATAGTGAGAGGATTTGGCAGTAATTAGGAGAGACTGCTGCGATGGCTAATAAAATGGACTCTAAAGACATTTATTGCATTCTTGGGCAGATGATGTCACGCAACAGCATCTGTACTGAAGGACAGAGTTGCAGTCTGAAGGGTAGAGGAGGCAGCTAGTGCCAGTCAGAACATCTGGGCCTAGGTTTGGAAAATGTTGGTTTAAGTAAGACGCATTATCCTCATCTGCTAAGTGACCTGTAGATATATATATGCTATCCTGCAGCTTTACAATACCCACGAGGCGTCAAAGGGTGAGGGGCAGCAAAACAACAACGAGACTACGAGGTTGGTCCCAGCAGGTGTTAGACTGCAACTTTAATACACAGGCATTAATTAAAGCTATAAGAATACACATTCCTTACATTTATTATAGTGCTTTTCTAGATGCTCAAAGCGCTTTACAAATACACATTACACACATGTAACAGTCATGTACTGTGGACATACCCACAGAAGCAAATTCAGGTGAAGTGTCTTGCCCAAGGACACAACGGCAGCGGGTTTTGAACTGGTGTTTCCCAACGCCCCCTTGATCAATGCACAGCGCCACTCCGCCCATCTTCACACGTCAAAGTCATCAAGGTGCTTTACAAGTACACATTACACAACTATCATACATGTAACGGTCATGTACTGTGGACAGTACCCACAGGAGCAAATTCGGGTGAAGTGTCTTGCCCAAGGACACAACGGCCTGACGCAGTGGCGGGTTTCGAACTGGAGTTCCCCAACGCCACCCTTGATCTGATGATCAACGCACAGCCCACTGCACCACTCCGTCCCAGTAAATGGAATAGTGTTCACACATATCAGATTGGTGGAATAACAGGGTGAAATGGCACATAATACAAAAATAATGCTTGTTTTCGCCTTGTGATTCATATCCGAGCCAACATTTTGTGAGTTCTTCCTTGGCCTATGCTACACCATTTCTCCAATTTATATGAAAATCAGGCCTGTTCCTTTCCTGTAATCTTGGTGGCAAACACACAAACAAATCAACAACTCAAAACTGAATAACACACAGTTGCCTCACTAATGGAGGTAACGATGGTGTTGATTGAAAAAACATGTTCCAAACCCTTGGCAGAAAACAACACCCTGCCACTTGCAGTTAATAATGTGTGTTGTGGTTTATGGTAGTGAGACGTACAACACCATTTTAATGATTTCTCCACTACTCTAACAAAGTCTAAATAAAGTCACACAGAAGCTTAAAATCTACAGCTAGTGGCTCTGTAAGGCTGCACATTGTTGGACTTTGAAGCCAATGTACAACTTGTGTCCATCATGTGAGGCCAACTGGCTCAAAAATACTTTTTCCAATAAACGTACATCATAAAAAAGTAGTCTGTTCTCTTAACACATCAATGTTTAATCCATGTAAATGCTAACAGCATGCTAACACTGCAAGAATGCTAACATGCTGATGTTTAACACCACAACCTTAACATGTCAAACATTTTAGTTTAGTCTGTTAACATTTGCTAGTTAGCATTAAGCACAAAATACAATGGATGTTGATGGGAATGTCATAGGCTTTGCAAGTATGTGGTCATTAAGTTATTCTGGATTCATTGTATGGAAACCATTGACATCTGTAATGTAATAGCAATTCCCATACAATGGCCCTATTCTTCTACTTTTACTTCGATGAGACATTTGGTCCAAAGCAGTAGAAC